TCCCACCTCCCCGGTGACCACGCATGCGTATCACCTCCCGCCTCCCCAGGTGACCACGCAGGCGCACCTCCCGCCTCCCCAGGTGACCACGCAGGTGCATCACCTCCCGCCTCCCCAGGTGACCACGCAGGGGCACCTCCCACCTCCCCGGTGACCACGCAGGCGCACCTCCCGCCTCCCCAGGTGACCACGCATGTGCACCTCCCACCTCCCCAGGTGACCACGCATGTGCACCTCCCGCCTCCCCAGGTGACCACGCAGGCGCACCTCCCACCTCCCCAGGTGACCACGCATGTGCACCTCCCACCTCCCCAGGTGACCACGCAGGCGCACCTCCCACCTCCACGCAGGCGCACCTCCCACCTCCCCAGGTGACCACGCAGGTGCATCACCTCCCGCCTCCCCAGGTGACCACGCAGGCGCACCTCCCACCTCCCCAGGTGACCACGCATGCGTATCACCTCCCGCCTCCCCAGGTGACCACGCAGACGCACCTCCCACCTCCCCAGGTGACCACGCAGGGGCACCTCCCGCCTCCCCAGGTGACCACGCAGGTGCATCACCTCCCGCCTCCCCAGGTGACCACGCAGGTGCATCACCTCCCACCTCCCCAGGTGACCACGCAGGTGCATCACCTCCCGCCTCCCCGGTGACCACGCAGACGCACCTCCCACCTCCCCAGTGACCACGCAGACGCACCTCCCACCTCCCCAGTGACCACGCATGCGCATCTCACACCGCCCCGGTGACCACGCAGGCGCACCTCCCGCCTCCCCAGGTGACCACGCATGCGTATCACCTCCCGCCTCCCCAGGTGACCACGCAGGTGCATCTCACACCGCCCCGGTGACCACGCAGGCGCACCTCCCACCTCCCCGGTGACCACGCATGCGCATCTCACACCGCCCAGGTGACCACGCAGGCGCACCTCACACCGCCCCGGTGACCACGCATGCGCATCTCACACCTCCCCAGGTGTCCACGCAGGCGCACCTCACACCGCCCCGGTGACCACACGTGCATTTCTCACCGCCCCCGTGACTACGCATGCGCATCACCTCCCACCACCCAGGTGACCACGCAGGCGCACCTCTTCTTACCATTTCGGGACACATCCAGCTCCACCAGCTGCATGAAGTTGGCGATCTCCGGAGGGAGCCGCTGAATTTCGTTGTCACTGAGTCCAAGCTTTCTTAACTTGACCAGCTGGAAAAATTGCTGAAAGACAAGATCGTTTCAGGGTGAGTTTTAAACATCGTGGCTGACGGCGAGGTTGACGCGGAGCCCGGCCTCGGGAGGAGGGGGCAGTGCACACTTCCGGAGGCGCTGCGCCCTGCGCCCACACTTCCGGAGGCGCTGCGCCCTGCGCCCTGCGCCCTGCGCCCTGCGCCCTGCGCCCTGCGCCCTGCGGCGCGGCCCGTGCTGGCCCAGACACACCTGGGTACACGGACGCTGCAGTGCTGTCTGCAGCTTCCTATCAACCTAACCGAAATTTGAAAAAATGTCAGTAATAGTCAATCCCAGGCAAATATCAGAATCTAAAGAGTCTTCATCTGATGTTTCCACCAGGCATGGCAGACTAAGCACGAGCCTTCCCTCCTGTTCCACTAAAACTGCATGCCAGTGGCACGGGGGAGTTCAGGCAGAGATGAACATAAACCTAGACACACAGAATAAACCCACAAGGACGTTAAACACGAGTAGGAACAGGAGGCAAAGTAGATGTGCAACGAAACTGTTGAAGCTAGCAAACTGGTGATGAAATGGAAACCAGTTCAAGAAGCAAAGCAAGCTCAAGCCTGCTCTAGGAGCAGCCAGTGAGATCAGGGGCCAGACTCCTGTGCCGGAAGGAGAGCGGATGCAAATCCACATTTACGCGTCATCCTTGCATTCCCTTCTCTACTTACATAGCCAGGTAAGAAACGGGAAGCTTCCCTCCTGAGAAATACCTCCAAACACAGCCAAGGGCAAGGGGCAGAAGGTCACTCTGGGAAGACCAGGGCACCAGTCTGTGTGGCCAGTGAGGCGCCCCCCCCCACTCCAGCCAGACACCCCTCTCCCCCGAAAGTGAAAGCTAAATTTGAAATTCCACACATGCAATCAGAGCCCAGGGCCAACATCAGTAGTGCGATGTCATCGTGTGATCCGTAGGTGCAAATCTGCCCCCAAACACCAATGGCCTCATAAGCAAGGTGGGGAGTGAAAAGCTCAGACCACTGAAAAGCAACATGTCTTTGGCAGCAGTTGGGAGGTTTTAGGGGAAAAGCGGCCCAGCATGCACAGTACCGCAGTCTCCACAGCCTGCACGTGCGTGGACTCTCGGATGCTGAGGGCCCACCGTTCGTGGGGAGCGGCCCGGGCAGCAAGCCACGCACCCACCTGCCAAGCGGCCCACTCACCCACGTCCCAGTGCCTGCCTCTCTCACTTAAGCGGAAGCAAGCCTCTCTGGTCACTTGGGGAAGGAAGGGCATGTATCTTTGCATGTTCACACACATGAATGCACACCCTTACACATGCATACACAAACCCATTAGCAGAAACAAACATGACGCAGGGAGCAGAGGAAAACCTCATCAGTGGAAAAATATCGTAGAAAAATCAGAGATAAAGTAGCAAGCTGTCACAAATGGTAAGTTTTGACATTAAAAAGTACTAAGCAGCAACAAACTAATGAAGTGGTTTTAAAAGTAAAGTTAATAAAACCTCTCAGAAGGAAACTGAGATGGGGAAATGGGTGAAAACAAGGCACAGGAAGGGAAAACAAGGCACGCAGCCCCCTTGGGACAACATCCACAGAGAGACAGAAAATAGGAAACCGAAGACATGTTTTTTTTCTGGTTCAAAAGGGCACACCATCAGGACAGCAAAAGGAATGAAAAGGAAAAGACAGAGCAAGGCACAGTGTAAACTCTCAAAACTCCAAAAATAAGACTCTGGAAGTTCCCAGCGGCAAGGAGAGCGCTTCAGTGAAGAGCTGGGAATCCAATGCCACGGACTCACCAGCAGCCCGGAAGTAGACAGCAAGGAGGCAGAGCCTTCAGAACAGAACCCCTGCAGGTCATTCTTCTCCAACCCCAACCCAAACCCTCACCCACTGGGCCGAATGTCACACATGACAGAACAAAGGCGTCTGCAGACACTCAGCCTCGAAACACGACCTTCCCTGCATTGTCTCAGGAAAACATCAAAATAGGGATAGAAACTTAAAAAGATCCAGAAAACAGAATCAACAAAACCCAGAAAGAAAAAACAAATTCCCGGGAAAAAATCATGAAGAGAATCACAAGATGCCAACTGAGGTGTGGCTCTGAGAGCAACCTGTCCACACTGAAGCACAATCTACAGGCTCCCATCTGGAAAAAGATGGATGAGCACACATCTGAGGAAATTCCTTCACAGGCTTAGGAGTATCGGGAGTAGAGATGCAACTCGGTGGGAATGTTAAATTAGGAACAAGAATAGATAAAGCAAGCACAAAAAGGACAGGGCTACTAGTCCTGGGAAACATACAAGCTGCAATATATTAAGATATAATTTAAAGTTTGATTATGAATAGCTAATAGTCATACTATTACAACAGCTCTACTGAAATCTATGTGGTATCAATATTAAAAGGATGACTTAGAAACTGTAAGAGTGAAGGGTTCATCTTCTACAACAGGAAATGGCTGGTACAGTGTGTGTTGGGTGAGAGGTAGGTAATCAAGCTGTCAAAGCAAGCCATTAGCAATATGGAAGCATATTTGCAGAAATGCTTGGGTTCTCAAATGTCAACAACAAACTGCCGGGGGCAGGGAGGGGACAGGAGCAGCTTTCCCCTTCTGTCCCCGCTCATCCACCCCATACAACTTATGGGACTTGTCAACTATGTGCATAGATTATTTTGCAAACAACAGAAATTGAACTAACAAAGAGACCAAAGTCTCTATTAAGATTACCTGGCACTCCAAATGTTTGGTAACCTTTAAATGCTAACCTTAATTAACTTCTCCTTTTTATTGGTAAAAGGAAAGGATATAGCCATGTAAGAAGGCTCTGGCATTTGAAAAGGCAATTGGGCAGTACATAAAAGATGAAATGTTTTCAAATCCATTTATGCACTTCTGAGGCATCTCTCTTCATCCTGTTACTGAAAATAAGAAAAACGACAACGCACAAATATACTTTACATTATTTTCTGCTAAATTGATGTATGTGTACATATATTTTTTTCAGTGTCAGGCATGATGTACTATCGGGGAGGCAGAGGTAGGAGGACCACGGTCCGAGCACAGCCTAGGCAAAGAAAGCAGGAGACACTCTCTGAAAAACAAACACTAAAAGCAGGACTGAGGGCATGGCTTGACGGCAGAGTCCTTAACTAAAAAGCACAAGACACTGCTAAACAAACAAAAATAATTTCAAATAAGGAAAATGGTTAGCTGGTTGTTAAATTATCCAAGGCTATACAAACAAAGCTATTCTAAAGACCACAGAACTTGAAAAGGATTTACAATGCAAACATGATTTTAAAAGAAAATAGATTTCAAGGAGCGTGTATAAAAATACCCACTTGTGCATGTGACTGACTGGAAGGAAACACACGGAGCGCAGAGGCCAGAACACAACACCGTCAATGGCTTCGTGTTTTCAGATAACCACAGTTTAAAGACAGCTTTTTAACGACAGTGTAAAATAAAATGGACTTTGAGCCTTGACAAGTGACGGCTGCAATGAGCTGCTCAATGAGAGGATTGTGTTTTTTCTTCTGGTTCTGAAATGAGGCGTGGGCATCCGGGCCAAGTCTCCCGCCTCAGTGTCCTGAGGGCTGGCGCTGCAGGTGTGCGCCAGCACCCGGGCCTCTGGACCGCTTTATCACATCGTTGGGTTCTGTGTCTTCAGGGAAGCCACTGACATGTCTTTCTGCTAGTTGTACTGAAGTATTCACAGGGGCCACCTCAGTGAATAAATGGGCCTGCACGATTGTTCAGAGTCTTGACAGTTTCATAATACACCCCCATGTGTTTACTCAAGCATGAAAGGCTCACTTTGTTTTCCAGGAAAGGTATAATAGCAAAAGTACAAAAACCAGCACCAATTTCATATAACCGGGGGCCATTCAGACGTCATACAAGAAATCAAGCCAAGAAAGTACTCAGAACTGCAGTGAATAAGTTTGCTGTGCATCCGTGGAAACTATAGAGTACAAGTTCCTACATCTAGCAGGGTCTGAACAGCAAGCGACTGGAAGGTTTCATGTTGCATGTTAAAAAGCCTCAACGAGGGCTTGTCACAAGTCCCGCTTGAGTCAAGTTAGAAGAGTGCGTGCTGGACTAAAACACAATCCTATCTGACATGACCCCAAAATAAAATTACACCACTACTAATTATTTTCCTAGTGGATCTGAACACAGTGTCCAGCCGCTCCGTTAAAATACCCACCTTCTGACACGGTCCTTGCGGAGCCACTAACGCTACAGCCAGTGCACCACCACCAGTCAAGAACTTCACACGCTGTGCCCGCCCACCCTGCTTTGGACATCGGCAGGGCACACCATGAACAGCTCATGCTGCTGTCCGGGCAGGGTGCCCGGCACAGAGCAGTCACGTGACGGAACACGCAGACACCAGGCTGGGAGCCCACCATGTCTGGAGTGTACCTCCCTGACCCAGCAGCACATGCAGCTCTGCACTGAGAACCCCACCTCCCCGCTACTCCACTCCACCCTGCTGACAGCCACTGCTGTCAGTACACAGGGAGTCTTTCATTTAGATCAACAAAAGCATCTCCATTTCTGACAAGATTTTTCCTCCTCTTTTGGCAGTGTTGACATCTCGCTTTTGCTTTTTAGAAAGAAGCAAAGGAAATCTCAGGAAAGAAGGGAAGAAAAGGAAGGAAGAAGGAAGGAAGGAAGGAAGGAAGGAAGGAAGGAAGGAAGGAAGGAAGGAAGCAAGGAAGGAAGGAAGGAAGGAAGCAAGGAAGGAAGGAAGGAAGGAAGGCAGGCAGGCAGGCAGGCAGGCAGAGGCGTTCTATCTCAAGCTGTGCTGAAGAAGTAAAGTGTCCATCTACGCAAACAGTAACAGTAACATGAGTAAAACAACAGACACACAGTTAACAGTGAATGAAGGACACTCGATGCCTGGAGGTGAGTTTAAGGACTATCCATGGACCAAACTCCTTAATCACCTCAAAAGTTATAACAGCCAGGCACCAGTGACTCACGCCTGTAATCCTAGC